CCACGGCACTCTACCCTGGGGGACAGCTTGAGGCTCTGTCTCAAAAAAAAAAAAAAAAAAAAAAAAGGAAGGACGTCCTTCAACATCCTGCCCCTAAGCTCCCAGTCAACCCTCAGAGCATCCTCACCTTCTCTCCTCTTGGGATACAGTGGAAGAGGAGTTCTCTACCAAGGTCATTCTCTCCCACTTTCTCAGTAAACTCCTTTGCAAGCTTGATTGTTTCTTCCGTGTCCTCGACTTTGCTAACCATTTCCTATCAATATGCAAAGAGGTTCCCGTTAAATAACCAACCACAAACTTCTTGAATTCCTTTCTTTTACCAGGTATGTGACCTCCTTCTTCTCTTGATTTTCAGGACTCGCTGTCTCCTTGGTTCCTCTATAGTAGACTCCTTTTCAGGCTTTTTAAACATTGGGGTTTCCTCCCAAGTCCTTTTCTTTTTCCCCTACATTGAAAAGGGGGATTCATTAGGGAGGAGCGTGTGAAAGAGGGAGTGAGGAGTTAGGCTGGACGAGGTGGTGGTGAGGGAGTAAGAGGAGCACGGGATATGAAATGCCCAGTAGTGGACACGGAGGACTCGAGCCACTATGACGCGGGGACCCGGAGAGAGGTGATGGCAGAGAGACGGGAGCCAGGGCACGACAACCTCGCTCGCGGCACAGGAAGCGCGCATGCGCGGGCAGTAGCCTCCGCGCGCTGCGCCGCCCTTGCCCAGCTCCCGCCGGCAGAAGGAAGACTAACCCGAGGTGGGTGGTGGTGGCCTCGGGGACTCCGGAAGGCCACCTTTCACCCGGAAATGGTTGTTAAGGAATATGGCGCTGCTGGTGAGAGTCCTTGTGAGTGAAGGAATAATTTTCTATGGTCGTCCGCTGGGTCCTGGGTTGGCATCCGAGAGGGGGATGGGTGTGTGGGGTAGAAATCGGAAGGAAGAGCAGGCTGCGCGGCCGCCTTTCCACAGGGAAACTGAGGCAGCTTCTGAACTCTTCCCTACTCCGGTTTTGGCCTTGGCTTCCCATCTTTCCAAGAGAGGGAGAGTGACACCTGACCTTTACGTGATGGGATTTGCTTTCCGTCAGTGATATCTCCTAACTGTTCTCCCTCAGGGAGAGAGGAGCACATGGGACACTGATTGGAGTTTTCAGGAGAGCTGAGTTCTAGTTGAAGCCTGTCGTGGATGCTCAGTGGGACCTTGGGCAAGTCACTTTTGGGCTTCAATGACCCCATGTGAAAAATAAGGACATTTATTTCTGGCAGCCCCTCTGTATTCTGAGGTTCTGTGCACTTTGTTTCAGAGATCATGAGTCAATTCCTAAGTATACAGTTAAGTGGGATATAGAGTTTTAGATTGTAAGCTGCGCGAGAACTGGGGTCATAGCTGTCGTTTTCACTTCGCTTGGCGCAGTGCCTGGCATAGCGTAGGTGTCAATAAGTAAATGGGTGTGCTTATTGAATGAATGAGATAAGGAAGGACTACTAGATCCTTTAGCATCCATATGGGAAACTGCACCTCTTGAGATTCAGTCTCGATCCTTCTAGCATACTGTTTCCTTTAAGGGTTAAAGGAGAAAGAAAATAGCAGTACAAAAGCTTAGGAGGATACAGAGCTTAATTTTTTTTCTCACTCAGAGTCTCACTCTGTCATCCTAGCTAGAGTGCTGGGACGTCATCATAGCCCACACTAACCTCACTCTCTTGGGCTCAAAAGATCTTGCCTCCCACTCCTGAGTAGCTGTGACTAGAGGCGCCCACCACACCCCCGACTAGTTTTTCTATTTTTAGGAGAGACGGTCTCACTCTTGCTTAGGCTAGTCTTGAACTTCTGAGCTCAAACAGTCCACCCACCTCAGCCTCCCAGAGTGCTAGGATTACAGTGCGGTGAGCCACCGCACCCCAGTGGGCCCAGAGCTTAGTTCTTCTTTTTTTTTTTTTGAGATAGAGCCTCAAGCTGTCCCCCTGGGTAGAGTGCCATGGCATCATAGCTCACAGCAACCTCAAACTCCTGGGCTCAAGTGAATCTTCTGCCTCTGCCTCCCAAGTAGCTAGGACCACAGGTGCCCGCCACAATGCCTGGCTATTTTTTTTGGTTGCAGCCATCATTGTTTGGCGGGCCTGGGCTGGATTCAAACCCGCCACCTTAGATGTATGTATGTGGCTGGCGCCTTAGCCGCTTGAGCCACAGGCGCTGAGCCATCCCTGAAGTCTTCTTATCAGACATAATAATGTATATTACAATGTGTGTTAAAGCATTGGGAATTCCCTTAGCACTAATTCAAAGTGGCAGTAAACACAAAAGTAGTAGATATTTATTATCAGCTAATCTGAAGAACCATTTGGGCTAGGCACTGTAAGGAGTTCACAAATACAGAAAAGTGTACCTGTCTAGGAGTCTGAAGAGCCTTGGTTGAAAGCTTACTGTTTACTTTAGGTGTGACCTTAAATAAGTCATCTAACTTATGTGAGAGTCTCATGTTTTCTTCTCTTTTCTTTTTTAAGACAGAGCCTCAAGCTATCCCCCTGGGTAGAGTGCCATGGCATCACAGCTCACAGCAACCTCCAACTCCTGGGCTCAAGCGAGTCTC